GCTGAAATGAGGGTGATGAGAGTGAAGCAAAACAATGTTGTGAGCCGTAAAACCAAAACAATGAGCTGAAAGACAGCTGCTTAATAGAGCCAAGGGAAACTGCAGACCTGAAAAAAATGCAATCAATTCAGCCAAGAAACAACAAGAAGAAACTTTGCATCCCTGCAGAAGGGATACATTCCCACAGAGTATGAGCATAGAAATGTTATTTTCTATATTATTTCTGTGAGTATAAGTAATCACCCGCATCATCAAACATGATTCAGTTTAGCATAACGTAGTCCTTGAAATTTACCATAAGTGTTGACAGTGTGTGGGAGCTTATTCTTTTTACTCATAATGTAATCTATATAAATGCTGTTTGACATTCATCCAAACAATGATGCCTGCGAGTTTTGTCTCTTTCTTCCCCACAAGAGTTTCCAGCTTCTCTCAAGCGTACATTTTTTTGTGTTAACATGGTGCATGTTTCTCATTTAAAACTTATGAATGGTCAATCACACTGAAAGCACCTAGTGTATTATACCACACCAGGACTTTGAAAATATAACAAATATCTCAGTTTCAGTGATATATTGTAGGACATGGTGAAAGCAACGCATGTATAAGTATATTACCATATTCTAGACCTCTTTCAGAGTGGTCCGCAACCGATATTTGAACGTCCCATTAACAGTCTGTGTGAACACAATGTATGCTTGGTTTACATTGAACGGAAGCAGACTTTGAAATGCGCCATTTCAGAAAGCGTTGCACATTTTACAGCTTTTACAAACTCGGTGCTCAGAGTGGAGGTTTTCCGGGGCCAGTGGGCTCTTTTGGGTTTATTCATATTCATTTCTTTATTGCGTCTCTGTGGCTGGCGAATCTCTGAGCTCATTAAGATTCAGCTCCGCCGTGCAACAGCAGCTTCAGAGCTTCCATCATAGTTATCTGCAGGTGGGTGATTATGTCCGGTCCACCGCAGGGCTTTGACCGGCCTACCACAGGGACCCAAACTGACTTACATAACAAGACGCACATAGGAGATTAGAGGACCTTTCACTTAGCGCATAGCCAGAAAATACTGGCTTTGTCTGTAGATAACAGATCAGCGAGAAACCAAATGTGTCCTTTGACAATAATATAATTAACTGTAATCACAGCTGAATTGGTGTCTTCTGGGATTTCATCTCATGTAATAAGTACAAGACAGCTTCTGTCGACAACAGCTTGGACTATTTCTGCATCCCAAATCACAGATTAACATTAAACTTTACACACAAACACAACACACTGAAGATAATGAACTCAGTAAATTTGTTCAGCAAGCAGGGATGATTTTACTCAGCAATCTGCATGTGAGTTCAGCTGTCATTGATGAAAACAGGCTCTTCTGCAAGTGCAGTGAACAGAAAACGCAACACTTTTGTTTTTGTTCCCATTTTTCACGTGATGAAATGAAATATCTCAGACTTTTTCTATGCACACAAAAGGCTTGTTTCTCTAAAACTTTGTTAGTGAGCAACAGGATTACCCATCCACCTGACAGGTGTGGCTAATCAAGATGCTGATTAAACAGCATCGTTAGTATACAGGTGCGTCTTTGGGTGGTTACAATACAAGGCCAGTCTAAGATTTGAAGGTTTATCTTGGGGTGGACATTTATTTGGATTTCACATGATTAGAAATGCATTTTTTTGTCGCATATACCCCCAAAAAGTATCTTGTGTGACCACCATTTGCTTCACGCAGTGCGACACATTTCTCTGGCATGGAGTTGATCAGGTTGTTGATTGTGGAATGATGCCCACTCCTCTTGAATGACTGTGCAAAGTTGTTGGATAATGGCAGAAATTGGAACAGGCTGATATACACACCGATCCAATTTGTGAACAAAATTTGCGTTTGCATAGAAAAAAAAAAGGAAAGAAAAATGAGAGCAAAAAACAAAAGCGTTTTGTTCAGTGTATTTGGTTTTAGGTTGTAAATGAGTTACAGGCGGTGGAAATAGATTATCTCTCAATGTTATGTTGCAAGCTTTGAGGAGCATTTCTCAGAGTCTAATTGTACACCACTGCAGTGTCTGCCCGCATATAACCACTGATCTACAAACTCACAATATATTTGACAAGTCATATATCTCTACACCTATTTAAGCATATTTTACTTTGAACAAGGGATACAAAACCACTGTTTTATGAGGTAAGTATGATTCCTGACTCATAGTCTCCTGGCACCTGTGAATAGTGATTGATTTCCAAAAAAACATTCAAGCTGCATTAATCAACATTTGTTTTTTACAACAACAATGGAGTAATGTGCGAAATGTGAAAGAGATTGCTGGTAGTGATGAACTGACAAAGAAGTATCACCAACTAGTTTCCTTTTTAGCCTCTTTAGCTCATCGTTTTAATTATACAGCCCCAAAACTGTTATGTTTTGGTTCTGTCTCACTACTTTCATCAACCTTGATTCCAGCAGCAGCATTCAGCTGTTTTCAGTGAAAAGGCTCCAATAACCCACTGCACATTATCTGTTCAGCACCAAACCACAGCCAGGCAAAATTAGCAACTAGCTGGTGAACATAATTAAGCATTTAGCACCTAAATACCCAAATATTTCTCTCAGCTGTTGGTGGAGTGGAAAACAGAGCCACTGTTTGCTAACATGTTCACCATAACAATGTCAATGTTGTGTTTACAGCTTGTTCAGCTGCCCCCAAGTGGCCAAAAAAATTTTGTTAAAGGTCCCATGTATTATAAAGCAGGTTTAGGTACTGTATAAATACTAAGAAAGTATTTAAACGCTCACAGCCCGTATTCAGAAGCAGGGCCTTTTGAATGAGCCGTCACGACTTCCGTAAGGTTTTGATGTCACAACTACACAGTCAACGGTAGAAGTGCCACTAAACTCCAGTTAGTTGACACACACAGTGAGTCCACGGCTGCGGCGACACTGTAAAGATGGCGACAGCGCAGATATGCGAAAGACAGAAAAATGCAAACCAATCTGAGCAGGCTGGGCTTTTTCGGTAGGGGAGTTTAAAGAGACAGGTGCTATAACGGAGCGTTTCAGACAGATATGAGAAAAATAAAGTGTTTTTCAACTTGAAGCATGTAAACATGTTCTAGCAGAAACCCAAAATATAAGTATGAACCTAAAAATGAGCATGATATGTGACCTTTAATGCAGCCCTATAAATGGCTAAATCTCTAAAAGCAGGAGTTCCACTTGGTCTGCTTGTTTACCGTCCATATTTAGACTTAACATAATACAAAGCGCACACGGCTTTTATCCAGTCATATCTCTATGATCAGATTTGGTGTTTGTAGATATTTGTGCCGCGAGCTGTATTTGATTTCATTAATAAAACAACAGAATCCCAAACCTCTAGAGGAATGTCTATTTTTAGCTTATAGCATATTTCTCTAGAAAGCTGAGAGCAAAGGTTTCCCACTCTTTGTGTCTCTCTTTCACTGTCTGACAACTTCTCGTCTCATCACATATATTCTTGGCCGGATCATCCTGTTACATCGTTCTCAGTCTGCTGGGCTCCATGAAAACGGCCGGGAGCAAGCCGGCAGACGGGCCCAGGGAGCTTACAGAGATGAGAGAGATGGACAGAGATGATGATGGAGAGCTCTTATTAGGTGTGGAAGGACGGACACTTGGAGACTTGGCCCACGCGACCCCTCGGGGTAGAGGCTCACTGGCTGGCTGTGACTACAGTTAGGTGCTTGACAGACCTCCAGTGAGAGGGGGAGAGAAGGATGGGAGGGACAAGAGGTAGCTGGTCCTCATCCCCTGACTGACCCCCATTTAAAATTCAATTTCAAAAGCATAAAAAAGGTCCTAATTGTTGCAATATCATCAAAAACAAGACAAATGTTGTTTTCCTCCGAGACAGACTGCTATTTTTTCTCAACAAAAAAAAAAATCTGAGATGACCTAGTTAGAACCTGGATGCACTGCAGAGACGTTTTGAGAAAACTTGTTATGTGGGACTACACCCAGGTTCATCCGCAGCCTACTAGTGTGAAAACAGCGGGTTAGGCACTTTATCCCTCAAACACTCTGATATGATAAGAGGGCAGCCGGTTTAGTCCTTTGTTCACCAGCTGAGAGATTGTGTTAGTGTCTGACAGCTGCTCTGAGATCACTGGGAGATGAGAGGTTAGCATATTTTTAGACATGTGTTTCATCTGAGGAACCTCACTACTAAATAATGAGGGTGCCCTTCTCCTGTGCCTGCGACTCACAGTATCGAACAGTACAGAGCTGCAGATAAGCCTTTCAAAAGGTCTGGATGAAGAACACAGCTATAGAGGACATGAAAATAGGAACAAGTGGACCTAAGATGTGGTGAACATGAAGCTGAACATAATATCAAAAAGGAAAACAAACGGCTGAGTCTTTAGTTCAGTGTTGGAAGTTTCAGAAAAACATTGTGATTAGAGGTAGAGAAAAGCAACTAATCTAGCAGTATCAAGCAGTGCCATAATACCAAGGCCATGCCATGCTTTAATGGCCTGAAGGACTGATTTGCAAATAATTGCATCAACAGAAGATCTCACATGGAGATTTGTCCATCAGACGTATATTTCTGGCAGTGTAGAGAAGACTTTGAAACATAAATAACATTTGAGGGGAAAATGGAGGCTTAGATTGGGCGACACTAATGACATCAGTATTTTTATAAATTGACAAAAAAATATTGAGCACAAGCAAACAAGAGGTAAAGATTTTTCAAATCATATATTTTTAGATGGAATATTTTTAATTTTGAAATGTGTAGTCTATATTGTTTTTCATAATGACTTCACCATTTCAGACTATGTAACTTTTGATCTTTCATGTCACTCTGGACCAGAACATCAACAAAACAGGGATAAAAAGTGCTGCAAACACTTTCAAATTGCACGACATTACATCATTGCATACCTCTCCACTATACGACAAACAGCTACCTCATCTACTTGCATAACGAATTCTCAACTTCTCTCTAGTTCTCTCATTACCTCTTTTCTGGTGTGGTTTCGTTTTCTTTGCTTGCTGGCGCTTCCTGCAGATCTGGGAGGTTGGCAAAGTCATCCTGTTCAGCCAGCCCGATTGCTAGAGACAGAACAACCATCTTCCCCTCACTGGACACACAGACAAACAAGACATCACAAGACCACACAGGTGTGTAGACAAATCGGCACAGGGACACATACACACACACACACACACTCCAACATAAACAAAGAAACAAACGGGTAGTGACAGAAACACACCGCACAGCACACATTCATTTCACGTACAAAGAGAGAGTGGGAGGAAGGTGGTAGACTGTTGTGAGGACACTATTTAATTTACACAAATACTTAATGCATACCTAACACTGCAGCGCATCTCAACTACAGCTGTGTTCTATGGAGTAAATTAAGATCACAATACAGACTTTATCGACGCTTGAGTAACACTTTACTGCATGCATGGTTTGCCATTGTGTATGCTATTGTATACTAGACTAATACCAACATTAAAATTTCAAGTCGTCCAAAGTTAATACGGTTTTATCTGCGACGGGTATTCATTCAAACACAATCTGCCACTGTCATTATCAGTAATGGCCCTTTATGCAAATGATTAATGCTTTCTTTTCTCTCTTTTCTTGTATTAGTGAGTTAGACTGCATTACAGGTCTGAAAACTGATCTGCTATTGCTGAAATGAGATGTAAAGACTGTTTTTTTCTTCACCACTTCCTTAACCAACTCTGTGAGTTGCACACTCTAATAGCACACTCTTGAGAGTGTGCTATTAAAAGCCACCCAACCTTTGAAGTGTCACTCTCACTTTATGGATAATGTGGGGTGCCTGATTACTTAATGTACCGACCGCTGTGACATTAGTATCAGAATCAGGCGATTTCACTGAATTGATTCTTTCTTTAGTTTTTTTAACACTGGCATGATGTTGTATTTCTAATTAAAATACATTGGATGATTCCAGGGATATTCATCATGGGACAACATGTGCTTTAAGTGCATTTTCCTATAATTCATCTTTACAATATATGAGGTTGTAAAATGCATCAGTGAACAGTGCACTTTCTTACAAGAAACAATTTCTCAGGAGTATTTCCTTTAAATCCACTGCAGGTATTCATTGAATGTGTTTGGCTGAAATGAGCATCATTAGCAGAAAGGCTTAGAACCACTGATGCCTCCACGGCTTTATCATCCTCTGTTATCTGTTTCCTAGAATAATACATGTGTAAAAATAGAAAAGCAAAAACCCAAAAGAAGGGGTTTGGATTGAGTCACAGAGAAAAAAAAATAGAGGCAATGAAATGAAATGCTGAAAAAAAAATGAAGAAAAAGCGAAACAAATCCGTGACAATTGAGGTTACCTTAACAAAAACCTGCAACAAAGAAACATATCAAGTTGATTTTCAGCTCTCATTCCCCTCTTAACATACCTGAGGTCATTTAAATTACATCTTAATGAAGTGTGCTGCACCGTGAATTCAAGAGGCAATGCAAACAATGACCTCAACAAATAAACAATTGCCCACAACCAACCTTGTAATTCACAGTCCTAAATAACAACCCATATGTAAGCACATATTTACACTATTCTGGTGGCTTCTCATACTTTCCTCTCTGTCTCTACCGTGCTCTTTTGCTTTTTATACAGCCCCTAACATAGCGTGCTGATCCAAGGACAACCTTTATGAATTTACTTTACCACAGTCATTTCTTAAAGGGCAATTCTGATGATTTTGTTAATCTTTAAACATCGCCTGATGGACAATTTTAAGACAGAATTATAAAACATTTAGCGCAATTCTCTACTTTTATTTTGCGGATTAGCAGCGGTCTCAGAAGGTTGATAATTACTCGATGTTTTATTTCAGGAGAAAACAAATTCAGAAATGGCTCTCAGTGATCAAAATGTCTTTCATTATGTTTAAATTCTGCAAAGATAAGCCTAATACATGTGTAATTTTACACATAGCTAAGAAGTCTCCTCAAATGGCAATATGATCAACAGATTATGTCATCCTTATTAACCTGTGACAGATTGTTTGTCAAGTTTCATCAGTTTCGCCTCATTTTTCTTCCGATCTTCTTCCTCTCATCTCTCCATATGTCACACTTATGATGTGATTTTCCAGCCTGTATGTGCTTTCAGTGCATTGCCTTCTTAACAAGAGGCTGTTTGTTGAAGCAATATCGACAACAAGAGGAGCGCATTAGCGCTTGAGAGACCACTGGGGATGTGTAAACAGCACCAACATGGCGCCCGTCGATAAGTTGAATGGGTTTGTATAGATGTCCAAAAAAGACACGCGCACTCCAACACGGAGGGTTTTCTGAAATCATTACCACCTACACCAGCTCTATTGATCTGAAATGTAAGCGGGGTGGTTCAGGTGCCACACGGTGTGACAGACACGGACACACGTGGAAGGTGAAACTGATGCATTTGGTTGTTCATACCCCACCGATCACAAGTGTTCCCCCCCCCTCAGGGTCAACGGCTCCCTATATATGTGCCCAGCCTTATTTGAATGATGATTCACATAGGCAGGGAGGACACTGGCCTGGGGACGCTGTTAAAGGGAAGACAACAAAAAGTACAGGAGTGTAGAGCTGTGTGTAGACGCGTGTGAGGGGGGTGTTTACGTGATGCTGATTTGTGGAGCACATCATCTGTAATTCATTAAAAGCAAGCGAAGGAGGAGAGCTCTTCGTGCTCCGTATCTCAAGCTATGAGTAGCTTTCGCCCACACCAGCAGCCATCCAACTCAGGAGTGAATGGATCAGAAAACCGTAACGATCTTTGCTAACTGTAGGGTGAGAGGATACTTCTATCGTTTTTTGTTTCTAGTTGTTGTGAGGCTATGGATCAAGTCCACAGTATGTAGACAGTGACGGTGTGTTCCTAAAGATGTTTAGGTATTAGTATTTTTAACAACTTTCCACTGCTGCCGAGCTGTTTGCACTGCTTCATACATCGTCCACGGTAGAGGAGAATAACCTTACAACTGTGCAGTTCATGTTGTGATGATACACACATGAGAATAATAGAGAAGACCATTCTGTGAAGCTTGGTTTCATGAAACCTTTTTGAAAATAAGTTACAAATAAGTTTGATTTTCTTAAGATCTTCTAGAGTTACTAGGTATTTGCAATATATACAACACACTTATATATATATATATATATATATATACACTATCATATATTACATATATGACAGTATTTAGATGTTATATCCTGTAAACCTCTGCATTCAGCGGTCTGTCTTCAATTAACAGTGCTCACAAACAGAAACCAGCGTATCAATCCCCTCAACCATACAAGACAAAGAAACAAAGGACTGGATGGCCTTCCAAAGATCACTATGCAGCATACTCACAGAGTGTGTGTCTGAGACCTACTGATGGCGGCCACATGGACATGATTATCTATTAATGTGCATAATGTAGTAAAATCTGTCACATCTGACACAGACATCAACATGAACAAACTACAACCTGAAAAATGACCATAGTTGACTTGAATCGGTATCTCCTGCAAAGCCTCAACAACATTTTTACGTTTTAAGTTTTGCAAAGAAAGCAGCATTTGCCAGAGTAGTAAACCTCATGACACTCACAAGAACGACTTGACGTCCAGGCCTCTGTGGCGTATCTGCTCCATCATGTGATCCCAGCTGCCAGGATTTGACCTCGATCGACCTGCCCCTGCACCTCTGTACCTGGAGGCTCCAGCCGGACTCCCCCGGACCCCGCGCGGGCCACCGCGGTGGCCCCCGCCGCCTGGGCCTGTGTGCAGCTGGCCCAGGCTCTGTGAGGTGACTGGGGGGTCGTTAGGGCCCGGAGGGGGCTGGTGAGTGAGGGGCTGTTGGAGGCTCTGCTGCCGGACCAAGGGCCGAGGGCGCCCCACGGCGGAGGACGGGATGTGCTCCAGGGTGGAAGCAGACGAGAGGGAAGCGTCCCCGAAACTAAGCCGACACATGGGAGCGCCGAGGACAGAGACAGATACAACAAGGAAGACATCGGAGTTAGAGATAACAGGAGACATACAGGACAGGGCAGGTAGATTTAAAAAGGATTTAGAATAGATGAAGGCAAAAATCAAAATATATGATATGATATAAAAAAGATGATGCAGAAGATAAAAATGGTAAAAACATACAGCACAGATTGAAATGTGGGAACACAGTGTTCGCAGTGAATATCCAAGTCAGAAGGGATCAAGAGAGAACAAACAACAAAGAAGATCAGTGAAAGAGGGAGAGAGGAGGGAGAGAAAGAAGAACAGAGTTGTCAAAAAGCTTAAGATAACTGTTTAACATCTGTGTGAAAACAACTGCGTAGAATTTCAAGCTTATGCTGCATGACAGTGTATGAATGCCTAGATGAGTTGGCATGCAATATGTAAACATTCAATTATTGTTCTTCAAACTGGTGTCAAAACAAACCTCTGCAGTGCAAGTGGAATCAAACTCAAGCTGAAGTTAAAGTATCATTATTACTTAACTTGAGTCTCTGTTCTCCATCTGCAGCTCTTAATTCTTTCTGTACGTTACCTCTTCCCTTAATTAGCCTTGACCTACTTCTAGCTTCTTGCCTTTTGCTTCCACCAGTCTCTCTCTAAGGTCCTGTCTGCTCCTGCTCTGTTTTCCCTTCCCACTCTTCCCATTACCTTTCTGAGCTCAACTGCTCTCCATCTCCTCTGTCCATTCATCTTTTCTCCACCCTCAGCCCTCACATCAGTCCATCGCCACACCACCTCCAATCACCCTTAGCCTGCTCTCTAATTACCAGTCTGCTACTCTTACAATCATGCAATAATGCTTCTCCGCTTATCCACCCTTCAATCACTGCGCTGCCTGATAGCTGTAAGCTTGTGCTGAACAGCTCTGTCTGGAGCTAATGCTGTGAGGGAGGATTTACTGCCTGGACTTGAGTTGTGTTAGCGCTGGTTCTTTAGTTTTAACTCAGCTCTAACTCTGCTGGAGAGCCAGGAGACAAGACCCCTGAGAAGCGGAGCAATGCTGGATCAAGTAAATACAAGGCAGAGCTCATATACATGCACCCATGCATGCAGGCTTTCTCACATACACACACACACTCTCTCAAATATTGCACGCCATTAAGTCTTTCCTGAGGACAGGCTTTGAAGGGAATGTTTATTTACTTGTGCATAATATTGTATCTGAATAAATGTGAATTAATGTATAAAAGTCATTTGCTGCATTTCTGTTGGGTAGACGTATTATAGAGTTTTGAGGTGAGAGGAGAGATTTTAGGGCTCCAGAGGTAAAAGTCTGGCTTATTTTCTGCAGAGACAACATTGGGCAACTGTTAGTTGGAGCACTTCCAAGGTTAAGATACAACTCCAAGTTGAATCATCAGAACAAAAGATGAGCAAAGATGACAGCTAGAACGCTAACTAGAGAAGTCAACTATGACTCCTAAGATGCATTTTGTTAAGAAATATATAAAAAAAAATCTTTTTTATTTTTTAGATTCTATCATTTTGGGATTCTTTGCAAATGTTGGCATGTTGTTTTGTTCTGAAACGCAACAGAGAAAGTGTTTTGATTTTGCTACAGCTCTGATTTGCACCTCTGACTGGCTTCTTCTCTGTAGCTACTGCAGCTGAGGCTCATGGGTATCGTTGTTTCTAGAGCCTGCCGTCATACTAAACTGACACAATGGCCGTAACATAAAGCTATGATCGTAGAATTATCCATTAGACTCCGTTGACAAGCGATAAGGAAAACTGAAACATTTTTACAGTGGCTCCTCACACTTTGTCACTCTGTATGAAAGATGTCATAATGTTTTTCTAATATTTGTTTTCTATCACTGAAGGCTGTGTGCACGTACATTTGGAGCTGACTCAATCATATTCATGCTCATTCATCCTCAAATAAGTTCAAATGCTGTACATAGTTTCATGTCATTAATCTTATCTCCAGATCTACGACAGGATGAAATGTAATGAAAAATAAAAGGGAAGGCATTAAAAGCTTTGCAACACAATCAATCAATACATCTGGCGGGATTCATGGTGGCATTAGGCCAGAGAGCTGGAAGCCGGTCCATGTGCTAATTCATCTCGCCAGTCTGCTCAGTGTTACAAAACTGGCAAAGAATTTACTCACTTTAAAAAGGTTTCATCGATTGTTGTATCTACTCGTGCTTTCAGGAGCTGCGCATCTTTATTGTCCTCTGTATATGTCTGTAAAGCGCCAGCACCAGTCATTCATATTCTCTGAGCACGAGCCCTCTTTATCTGCTGTATTCTATTACTGACTTAGAGGGTTATTTTCACATTTCTTCTTGCTTGAAAGTCAATTAAGATGACTATAAACCTTGAATGATTTTGTAATTAGAGAAAATTGAGGAGGGTGAAGAACAAGGAGACAGGAGTTAGAGCGAGAGAAGAAATACTAACGGAGTGAACGAGAGAGAGAGAGAGAGAGAGAGAGAGAGAGAGAGAGAGAGAGAGAGACATAGAAAGTGGAGAGGTAAATGCCCCAAAATAGAAACCAATTCCAGAGAAGAAATGGAAATACAGGTAGATCTGAAAGAAGGAGTGACAGGAGAGGAGAATAATGCATTTCAAATTCTAATTCAAAAATGATTTTGCAAGTCTAATTGTCATGTTGTTAAAAAGCCACATACTGTACCAGCATAAGATTTTTTTTAACTTTGCGAAAATCTGTCAAAAATGAAGAATGATTCATTCATTATGAATAGAAGCGATTTATAATGTCTTTAAATACCAATTCTGACGGCAGAGTTTTGCTCTCTTATTTCTTATCGAGCTACCGCATCATAACAAAGACACATAGTATTATAGATACAAAGCTGACTAAAGATGAAGGAATGAAAGAATTGGATGTCTTTTATTGTAAACCCACTGTAAATCTGCACACTACAATTGTTTATTAATCTATTCAAATATATTTTGCTCTAGATTCACTGAATGAACTTTAGGCGATACAGTACAAGAGACTTATTATCTGGGTTACGATTTACATACAGAGAGATCTTATATTTATTATTCATTATCTCTTCAATGTGCAAAAATATGGAGCTTTTATCAACCACCATTTGTTTTTCCTCATACAACTCACATACGTCATATATACAGATTAATATTTTAATATAGAGCAAATTCTGCTCAGCTGGAGATCAGGAGGCTAAATGTTTGTCTACAGCCACTTTGCTCTGGGAAGGTGGCGATACTGATTGTGTGATTTATGTGCTGTGATCAGCTGCCCAAAGGTAAGAGCTGAGCTAAACGAAAGGGACGCAGTGGTTCCCAAGCTTGGGATTGTGACCTCCAGAGGTGTTGCAAAATGAATTTGAGTGGTCACAAGATGATTTTTGGGAAACGAATGGATGAAAAGCATATTCTGCCTTCCAATATGGGGTAATTTCTATGATCCCAGGGTCCTATGTTCCCCCAACCTGTTCTCATTCCCAAATTGTCACATAAGGACACTTGGCCGGGACCCCTTGGTGTTACTTAGGTTTAGGCAACAAAACTACTATGTTAGGTTTGGGAAACGATGTTGGTTTGGGTTAAATAAGTACGTTTTTTACAGCCTGGAAATTAGAACGGGCTGGTTCCCCAACTCTATATAGCACACAACGGGAACCTGAAAAAGCTGTTCCGTCGCTCTTTGCTTAACATGACAAGGGCAATTATGGGAACTCATCAAAAGAAACACTGCATGGAGTTGAACACAGGGAAATTGAGTCTCTGACAACATAAAACCTTTTGAAAAGTTTACTTAATGTGTGTTAACTGAATATGGAACTGGGGAACAAAGGACACTGGGAGCATAGACACACAACTATTTTGTCAGGCTTTTCTACAAGGATTGTTAATTCTTTTGTGAAATATTTTATACTTTTACATTTTCAGGGATCTTAGAATCACAGTGGAAGTTCAAACAATCACTACATTTTTAATTGTTTTTGTGTACACTATCAGCTGATCATGTTGAATATTAGCTGATTGGCAAAAAACAAACACCTTCTGAGCCGTTTGCAGAGGTTGATGCACAGTGAAAGGGGTTCTTTTTCTCTCATGGTCTAATAAAACTGCTCTCCCGCTGTTTATGCAACCCACTCTAAATTTAAAAAGCTGTTACTTCAGATGAACAAGCACGCCATCTTTGAAGATTCTCTGTGAGCATCTGTTTTGTTTGAGATTCTTGAAACTGTCGGAGCCTTCAGTAAATTGGAGGCTGCAGAGGAACAGCATTGTCTGAGGCTGCCCTGACACCAGCTGGTGTAGGTTTGGCAGCTGACATGAAAATGGTATTTGTTTATGAGTGACGAAGCTCTCTGTAGTCGAGAGAATTCAAGCGACAGTTACTCAAGCATCGCAGGTACACCCTGCAAAGCAGCTGGCTTCTCTTCCAGCCTGTCCTTCCATTATCTTCATGGTGTCAGAAATAGCTTCTGCTGATGTCCTTCTTGAGGTGTACATGCAACAAGGCCATTCACTGTGTTTACAAACTCACACTCTTCCTTCCTATCCACACCATGCTGTTGTTGTGCCCCCTGTGGCCCCTCATGCGTGCCCCCTGTCACCATGCGCCACTCACTTGCCAAACCGTAGACCTCCGGCATACATGTGGCTCTGGACCGTCTGCCAGCGCCCGGCCTTGCTGCCCCCCATCACCATGCTTCGAATGCTGTCACTGCGACTGGGCCCAGCCCCAGACCCAGAGCAAGCGCCACCCCCGCTGTCACTGGCCCCCGGCGAGGGTCCAGCACCTCCCTGCCCACCCTTATCCACGGCCCCACTGGGAGGAGCAGTCGGGTTGATCAGAGACAAAGAAACACGGACAGACAGAAAGAACGGACCAGGATACAAAGAGGAGGGAGAGAGAGAGAGACGGACAGACGAGAGACAGACGCACAGACGTACAGAGCCGGAAAGCAAAAGATTCATCAGTACAGTTAGACAAACTGATGAGTGAGACACTTTGTGAGCCGTCCGTCCAGCCACGTCCAGTCGAGTATACAACGACAACTGTGAGGAGCCACTACTCCTCAGTCAGTAAAAAGCAGTGAAGAGTTTTGAAGAGTCTTTTCTGTGGACACTTGACTGAGACACATACTATATCTCCAAAAGTGCAATAGTTCTATTCAAAGTTGTACAGTATTGATGGCGTATGTATTACTTGATTCGTTTTTATTAAGACAATTTGTAATGCCAAATTCAGTTTTATAGTGCAAAATACAAGCAAAGTAAATAGCTTTTGCCTTAAGGGAATTGTTTCTTATTGAAGCTTTTCACTTTCATGAAAATCAGTGAAAGTAATTCTGGTGAGAAATAGGCCAAAGAGCTTTAGGAGTGCGGGGATGCAGCAGGTCTTCAGATCTTCAGATTATTTAAGATGCAGCTGATGATAACAGAGCACTAATGTCTCTAATCTCACAGCAGCTCACCTGCAGCTCACAATAAAAACAAAAAGCCCGTTTATCTAATGAGCTTGTGCAAAACATTTTCATACTAAAATGGCGCCACCTAACCCACCCCTGACCTCGACTTGAGACGTCACAGTGACGAGACAGAACGTCGACTTCAGTACAGGGACCTTCTACTGAGCGAGGACAAACCACACAACACACAGCTGCACAACATTTAGACACTGAGTGTAGCCTGACGGTAAAATGAATGACTTCTCACTCAACAATGAGATATTTTCGTGGCTATATTGGCTACTGTTGTGATTAACCTGTCCATATTCTCACATACAATTCATCAGCACCATAAAAACTCTCCTATAAATACGAAGAATTTCTCTACAGCACTTTTATTTTCCTTTGGGAGAAATATTACTGCACTGAAACTACACCATAACTGTTGTTTGGTCTCTTTTTTTTTGTAAATGTATTGTATTTTATTTTATTTTTTCCCTTTCATTGTGTTTTTAAATGTTGATCTAATGCATTTATTCACCTTATCTAAAGCACTTTGAATTGCCTCTGAGCTTGAAAGATGATAACAAACAAACCTGCCTAAAGCTTCATCATCTCGACAGTAAGGAGTGAGAAAGGGTTGACTCAGAAATGGCACTATCATCAGCCGATTAAATGCAGCGCAAATATAAATAATTATCTCAATAATATAATGCAATGCAATCACAACAGTCGCTGCCGCTCACTGATTCTTACAATAGTTTCAACATCACTGCACAGATACAGAGTAATTGCTCACCCCGTGGTTTTAAAAGAGTCAAGTGAGTTGTAATTAGAGAGGATGAGAATGAACAGGTTCACTTAATGCCATGGGGACGTGTGCGATGCATCTAAATGATGGAATGGAGGTTGATATGAAACAGACGCTATAGCACCAAAACTCTTAATTGCTGTAATGTACACAGCAGAGGCTATGTCTCTATTTCTGGAACAGGGCTCAGGAGACCAGACTCAGGAGGGCTATCAGGCAGCCGTAAAGCACTTACAGTACTATGAGTGATAGTGGGAGTAGTGACAACAAATGAGCAGAAAACATGGAGCGAGTGGAGGAAGAGGTGAGAGGAGTAAAAACACACGTACAACTTTGCACACACACACACACGCATCACACACACACACACACAGAAAACAACAGTAAAATAAAGTAAAACAGAAACCACCCTATTAAAGTAACAGTTAAACATTTTGGGAAAGTTTTTTGGTGGAAAGTTAGATAAGAAGATCACACACCACTCGCATACCAAATGTGAAGCGAGCTGCCGGTTGGCTTAGCTGAGCACAAAGACAGGAATCACAAGGTCTACCAGCACCTCTTAACCTCACTAATTGTAAGCACTAAAAACTAAAGTGCTAATATTCAGCAACTTACAGGGTCAGCAAAGCTAGCATGCCATATATTATTATACCTTATATTTAACAATGCAGAGTAAGAAACAGAAAGTGGTGTTGATCTTCTCGTCCTACTCTGTTTCCTTATGATTCAAGTCTTTGTGCTAAGCTAAGCTAACCGGCAAGCTGGCTGTAGCTCTTCACATTTAACAGACAGGTGTGAGATTGGTGTCCATCTTCTCATCTAACTCCCAAAAACGTCAAACTATTCCTTTAAAACTAACCCACGCAATAGATGCATCAACAACAGTCGCCCCTGATGGTTTAGGTAAGTCTATGTTTAAGTCAAGTCTGCTACAGCAAACTAAGGAGCACATTTCAATAGGTGGAGCGGAGGCTGGCTTGTATAAAAAGGTTCAATTGAAACAGTGAGATCTGCTCCCTGAGGGTTGTCCGTCTCCATGGTAACACTCAATGGGCTGCAGGTGAGAGGTAACTAGGGTCTGATGAGGCCAGCAGGGCTGTAGGGAATGGGGCTATCAAACCTTTCACTTGTACACCCTGTACACTGTGCAAGAGCAAACTAAAATGTTATTTCCCAGATTTGATGTTTTGAGTTTTGACTGTAAGACCAAATGGGACTCAAAAAAAGGAGGGTCTCCAACATATTCTCTGTAATCCTCTTTCTCATAAACAGTTATGATTTAAAACCGGTTTTCAAATAAGATATACTTCAATAATTTAGTATGGCTGTTGGCAGACATAAAAACTGTTGTTCTACCAAAAAGCGATCATTTGGAAAATGGTGATAATTTCTGTCAATGTTAGGGCAGTCCTAGGAATCACAGCAATATTAAGGGATGGTGCTGCATGGCCAGCGGTGCATACTAAACACCACCTCGCTGTCGACATGCCTGAGAGCAAAAACATGAGGATTACCAGGGATGAGAGGAGACTTCTGTTAAAAAGACATGTGGCCAGGCAGCATTACAATATGAGGCTTTCTGACCCCCTTCAGGCTATTAAATGTGACCTTTTCACTGCTCAGAGTGATATATTGATCAACCCTGGCCTTTGATTCTGAGTATATTTTGTGCTATTTGTCAGATACTTAAGCACACAAATAGCCGAACACAAGACTTTTTAAAATTTTTGATAATAGTGTTCGAAACAGGTCCCTACTCTGCTAGTATTGCCAAATTTGTATTATGTCAAACAGCTTTGAGGGATTTTTACAAGGTGCACACAAGCCCCTTTTCATTACAGCCCTGCCCAGATTGAGGGTCCCTTACCAGCCATGACTGAGACTCACTTGGGCGTGAGGCGAGGGTCTCCGTAGGGAGCATAGGGAGACATGTTTAAGAGGAACTCCTTGGGCGGGTAGGAGCTCCACCTCTGTTGCACGTTGCTGCTGTCGTTGTTGTTCCAAAAGTCTCTGTCCAGATCATTGTGGCTAGAGAGAGAGAGAGGGAGAGAGAGGTAAGACGGGTGAGAGTCCCAAGCAATCAAAGACACTTATAAAGAAGAAAGACATGACAGAGGAGAGAAGTTTTAAACCTGTTCTAAAACAGGCCACAGGTTCCTTTTTAAACTTTAAACAGAGATACATTGTTTATGAAATACAAGGTTCATACGGTTCCACAGGATAAAAGGGAGACAAGTCTGTTGTAGTTTGCATGTCAAAAAACCCGATAGCATGAAATGTTGGACCATGATAAAAACACCCGGAGTGGTGAAACAAGAAGTGACCTGCACGCTTTATCACTCTGTCAGAGATGAGGAAACAAATAAAACAGAGGAGGCAGAAAAGTCAGAATACAACAAAAACAACAACCGATTGAAAAAACACACATTGGATATGAAAAAGAAAAGAGAATAATAACAAATGAGTGGTTTAAAGTGTCATTCAATTAATAATTATAATAACAACATGAATTCTCAAGGTTGTTTCCAATGGTAATATTACAGTCCAAAATAATAAAACTACAGCCATGCAAGATGGCAGCACCGTTCACATTTACAGTCATTTCAAAAAGACAGAGTTGTGAATGTTCGGAATTTAGCAATTTCTTGAAAATACTGTTTTCAACTGAACAGCAGATAACATTGTTTCAGTGTTCTGTAATAATGTGTGACTACTGCGTTTACATTTTTGCGTTAGTTTATATTCAAAACGAATTAAAAGAAATGTCGTTTGGAGGTAAAGCCTTTTTAATCTTTGATTTATACAAACAGAATATACAAGTGACTTTCCTCCACTGTGTTCTGAAGGGACCGTATAATTCAACCTCTTTGATAAATGAGAAATATACCCATATAACACTGTCTTCAGGGCATCATTTCATGGTGGACCATTTCAGGCTACAAGATTAGCTTTCCAATCACAAATGGCGGCTGTTAAAATGCGATACTATCACCTCATCATAGATCATTTCCATATGCTTCCATCTAAACCCTCCCTGACACCTACTTGATGGCTTTATTTTCCCCTCGACCTCTCACAGAATCTGGAGAGCTGGCAGCCTCCACCCCGGGCTTATTCCTCTTCCCCTGCAAAGAAACAAGAGGCAGACAGAGACGGATCTTAGAGCCGTGTTTTGATCATTCTTTGCAAAAGCATTTTTTGCAAGTGAAGTACACATTACAGAGACTTTGGAACAGCATCGTGTTGGAATATGATGAATGAGGGAAGAGCAGAAATTGGTTTGATGCCAGGACTACAGCCTGCTTCTAAGGTTCACAACATGACCAGGGACCACTTGAGATGCCAAAACAAACGCTCACATGCACGGACATGTCTTCACACACAAACAAAGGAAATCTACATGCTTACTGTACAATGAAACCAGACACAAAACACATGTTATGATCATTTTAAAAGAGGAAGATGTGTAAACATTTATTAAAACTGAACATTTAGAACCCTTTCTGTCACAATGGTTAAATAGCAGCTGACATAGCATGGTGTATTACACGTGTAAAGACAAAGTTAAACTCATAGTTATGCTTAAAGAGGTTAGAGCATAGCTACAGAGCCTGACACCAACACCACATAGCTGGGCTTGCTGGAGGGAGGGAAGGCAAGGGAAAAAACAGAACCAGGGGCGGGGCAGACTGTCAGACCCTGCTGCAGTAAAATGAGAGGTTTTGTAAAGGGACTCTGTTACTCGAAAACAATAGCACTGTCGTCCACAGGGACCGCTAAAATTGACACAAAATGAAATTACCTTGTTGTAGCTTTAAATTGAAGATAGCGTCTTCTTCTTTTCAGTAAAACACATTCAAAAAGGCAATCCCCACTGCAAATCTTCTGCTCACCACAATCATTGCTCTCTATCACAGTGAACAGTTTGTGGGGTATTGTATTGATGCAGGACACAGCCTGATCATGTATGCTGCATCCAGCTGTGAAATCTGATGCTGAGCTATATATCACAACACCGTGGATATCTGCAGCCGGACTAACATTAAACCACGGCGTCAGCAACGGATAGTTTACAAATCACAAACTCAAAATTTTCTTCTCAAAGCTGACACATTTCTATCCAGAGCTGTTTTAGGGAGAAACAAGACCATTTGGAGGGCGGGAAAATTCTAGATATAGGCAGCAAAAATGCATGCATTTAGAGTGTAATGTATTATACAGCTCACTTTACTTACTCTGCACATTTTTAGCACTTAATGGATCGCGCTGAGCAGAGCAATACACACTGGTTACCGTTATTGAGCTTTACGTTATATTGAACTCTGTATTTATTGAACTCTTGAGGGTGATAACACTGAGCTCTCTCCAGCTGAGTCACACAGACCCTCTGCTCTTACATAATGCTTTACCATAGTAACCTCACAACAAGGACATAAAGAGCCTATATGCCATAAAACCTCCACTAAAAAGGAAAGACATCTCTTTATTTCTCATCGTGAAATTTTGTCCTCGGTCTAGGAAACAACATTTTGGATTCGATCCTGTTTGGAGATCTCAGCGACATTACCATCTGTTGCTGTGGATAATTATCATTATCAACTTCACTGAGTTTTAATCAGATATGCCATATTTTGACAAAATATACAGAACTTGGCAAATGACTCCTCTAGTTTTTGAAAGACAATATAACGAAAGATTCAAAAAAAGATTCAAACTCAAGGACTTTTACCAGTACACAACGTGCCTGGATGACAAAATACAATATGAGAAGAATATTATTTGCTTGCATTGGGATGAGTTTTATATAACATCAATTTCAAGTCTCTCAAGAGAAACCATTATTGTTTGTGCACTCATCCTTGCTTGGTGATGAAGGTGTGTCCTGTTTCCCTCCTACACTCTCTGCTCCTTTTGATTCGTTCACTTCGCTCTTTGAAGTGTCAATCCGACTCCTTCCTTCTTCCTCAAAACTGAGATTTTCCGGCAACACACTCTGCAGCAATAAATAACCCCATGCAAACAGCTCAAAAGAAGGCATGTCGGAGGAGTCGATGCTAAATAACAGATGTAATCTGCCATGAAATGTTAATTGTGAAAATGAAATGACACAAGAAGAAGATGATCCGTCTTTTATTGTAAGTGTTTTCTGTTCTGCTGTCTGCTATCAGCATCTGCTGGTGTGTACAAGTCCCAGGTGGACATTTTATAGAGTCGAGTTACTTTAACAATCACCTTTTTCTCACAAAACAGTGTCAAGTGCAGGTCTTGTTGTTTTTCCGGCAGTGTGGAAGGTTTATCCCCTGCTTCGGTAACACCATGTACTGTAGACATTGGTGTGCAGTCACATCTCCTACAGTATATCAGCTTCATGTCACATGCTATAACTCTTTAATATTCACACCTCGAGGCTATTTTTAGTTTTTCCGTTCACTCTGACCTGCATGTCTTAGGACTGTTGGAAGAAACTGGAGAGACCAATACACATACAGGGAGAGTAAACTAATCTAAAAGCTCCAGCTGAGCTGTTCAAACCAAGGACCCTAGTGATGTAAGTGATGGTGCTAACCTATGCAGCCATGTGGGAGACAACATAGAGTCTCAAAATAACAACAGTCTGACATCAGGATTGGCTGAGCCGACTGGATTTTCCATGTTCCTTCAATTATTTATGATAGTTAGAAGAGCCACAGAATAGCGTCAGTTGCTGTGTTTAGATTAGCTAATAAGCAAGTCTAAGCCCAATCTTGATATTATGACACTTTATAGGAATATGAGTGAAAACCACATTATATGAATGAGATAAGATTAACAAGACTCCACAGAAAGGTGGAGGGGAAGAGGGGAACGTCGTTAGAAGGCTCTGGGTGGAATCAGTTATGTATGGATAGATTTTAAAGCAGCCATATAAATATTTAAGAGCTGTCTGAAAAATCTCAGAACAGATGGTTCCTCCAGATGCAGACAAAGAACACTTCGAGTCCCTCATTTCTTCATATCAAGACAGACAAAAACTGTTGTCAACAATGTTCATGTTTTCTGATCCAGCACCTCTGTCGTTACGTTTTGGTCCAGTTTAAACTAAAGGTGTCACATGTGTCAATGATGTCACCATTCACGTTTTAACACATATAAATGTCTGCTTTTGCTAGATTTACTGTTGCTCGTCAGGAAAACATAAAAATACAGTAGTATTTTTAAGTGTTTTGACAAACTACCAATGCTGTGTTTTTTTATTTTGATAAGGACAGTTCCTCATCAGTTCATTCAATTCTGCTTCTATAATTTTGTAATATGTGCCTTGAAAGGGAAAAACAAATGTATGCTGCTGTTTATTCTTTAGTTAGTCGACTTTCTTATCGGACTTTGATGGAAGATTTCTTTGCTCTTTTTGGTTGAGAGATTTGTTGCACAATTTTAAACTCAATGATGAATGCAGTACTTGATCTCAATGAAGGATTTTGAGCAGCCTGCAGGCTTTCAGACACAGCCGAGTGCTGAATGTTTATCTGAATTCAGCTTTCAGTGTCCCGCAAACAGGTTGCCTCTTTATGTATTCTACTGTATCTCCCTCTAACGCATCCACAATACACTCTATTATTTATTATGTCACATCTCATGTGTCCAGCTCGGCAGAAAGATTTTCAATAGAGAGCAAAGCTTTGGGGCCTGACCTAATCTGTACCTACATTCAGCCACTACACTGTAAACACACACACACATACTGCACAGTGCATACACACAGCACAGAATAATATTAGATTTTGGGACTCAGAGAAGTCAAGAATATGCTATCAAGTGCAGCTCATCAATCATTTAACAGAATCATAAAATCCGAAGGAGGCTGGAGAGCAGAGGGTGGAGAAGGTAAAATGCTGAGCGAGCGTGGGTGGATGTGAGAAGCAGAAGGGAAGATGGAGAAGAGAAACAGGAGTACGACAAACAGAGTAGAGGAGCGAGTGAGAAACACGGAGGGACAGCACAAAGGAGGTTGGAAACAGACTCCAGAATGACGAAGGCGCCCAGCTGTGCAGAGGACACACACCTGGATGTTCAACACCGACCAGCCTCACCTCCTCTTCCCGCCTGTTTGTATGCCTCTGTGGCTGTTTCTGCCTCAGCCTCTCTCTTCCCTCCTCCTCCCACTCTCCTCCCACTTCCACTCCCATAAAACCACCAATGGCATGAGACCAGTTCCAACAGTTTCATCTCTCCTGGAGCAAATGTTTTCATATGGATGTTGGATGTTTATATGCTGCTAATTTGTTTTCCAAATTACTTTTTGCATGAAATACAGTCGCTGCCAGCTGGATTATGTTCAGTGGAAACATTTAGGCAACAAAAGCACTTTGGTTAAGGTTAGGGAAAGAAAACTGGGACAGAAAATTCATCAACTATTACTACTACGACTATTTTGATAATTGATTCACTGTTTATGTTGTATTTTGTAGCAACAATGCCAAACATTTTCTGGTTCAGGCCTCTCAAAGAGGATTTTATTTTTCTAATTGAGCATACATTTGAGATCCTTGCAATTTGGACTGTTGATTGGACGAAACAAGCAAAACAAAAAGGTTCTGGGAAATTGTGACATGTTTAGCTTTTTTTTTTCTGCCATTTTACAGCCCAAATGATTCATCAAGAAAATGATCAGCAGATTATTAATACATGCCAAAATGTGTTACAGCATTTTATGTTTGACCTTTTTAAATTCTCACCTCTCGCACATTGGCTCTGTTTCACCTGTAGGTGTTTATTTATTTAACCTTTAGGAGTGCAACCCACAAAACAAACACAAGAGAATATGTCAGAAGGAGACAAGGACTATGGGGAACCACAGAGCCAACAGAGACGAGAGGACAGCAGAACAATCCTGGAAAACTAAATCAGTGACATTCTGACAAGGACATGTAGATAAAGTGACAAAAGGACAAATACAAACCAGACTATTCGGTATAAAAGGAGAAGGAGGATGACACAAAAACAAAGACAGAGACAGAGATACCATGAGGGTAAACAAAGATAAGAAATGGGTTTGTTTGTCAGGTTCAATTCTGTTTTGTTTCACCAAAGCAATGATAGCAATTTAGACTTTAAGGAGCACTTAACATACTTCATAACTCCAGTAAGTGATCATACATTTTACCCTGGAGAATTATGTCATTTAGCTCAGCTGTTTTTCTTCTGAATAGCCCAGTTATGTCTCGGCTTGTGTATGTATGCTGCACTCACTCCTCAGAACAAGAGACAGACAGAGATGAGAGAGCGGGACAAAAGGAAGGCGGGGGGGGGGGGGGGGGGG